TTGATTGAGTGAAATGGCGATGTATACAATCTTCTTCTCTTACTTGAAATATTCTTTCTGTTAGATAAGATTTAATGATGGGGAAGAATGTACAGGGTAGAAGAGTTTTTACTTTATACCAGAGACCTTTGTGCCATACTCTATCAAACGCCTGCTGCACGTCTGGGAAGGCAGAGGAGCAGTACTCCTTTCTCTCTAGTGCCTTCCTTATTACAGAGCAGATTCTATGGACTTGTTCCACAGTGCCATGCTGCTGGCGAAAACCAAACTGGTGGTCCGGGATTATGGCTCTTTGATGAATCTCCTCCAATAATCTGTGCTGTAGGACTGACTCAAAAAGTTTTGACGTTACGGTTAGCAGACTAATCGGCCTATATGAGCTAAGTTCGTTCACTGGCTTCCCTACTTTAGGTATCATAATTACTTGTGAGACTCTCCACAGCGATGGAAAGTGTCCAGTTCTTATTATGCCATTAAATAAGATGGTTAGAAAAACTATGGCTTTTTTGGGAAGTTCCTTCAAGACTTTTTTGTCTATTAAATCAAACCCGGGAGACTTTTTGTCCTCCAATTTTGAGATTGTGGCCACGACTTCTTTCGGCGTTGTAGGCCTAATCGGCAAATCGAGCTGGAAGTCTTGACTTAGGGCCGAATCTATGAAGGAATCATCAGTGTCCGGGTCAGCTTCATTAGGCGTGAATACTTTTGCTAAGTGAACAGCGAAGGCGTCAGCTTTTTCTTGTTTTGTCCTTGCCCAAGTGTTATTCTGCAACCCTAACGGCGGTTTGGGATCTATCGGTCTATTATAGTTCTTACAAGCTCGCCATAGAGAGTAGTTTGTAGCATTTGTTGCAGTTAAGGAATCTAGATAAGATTCCATAGTTTTGTCCCTTGCATTTTTTATGGCAAGTTTAAGATCCTTGACTGCTTTGTTAAGAGCTCTTTTATCTACTGCAAGCCTGCTAGTGTGCCATACTCTTCGCAGTCTTCTTTTGTTCAGAATCAGTTCTTTTATTTCAAACGATACCTTATTTTGCCGTAGCCTGTGATTCAAGTGCTCCGGAGAGGTTTTCCAGCAGGCAGCTTGAACTGTTGTGGTGAAATGCTTTGTAGCTTCTTCGATATCCTCTTCTGTTTTAAGTGCTATTTTTAGGCTTAGCTCTGTGTCAACTATTTCCCGGAAGCTATCCCAGTCTGTGTATTTGTTGTACAATGTTTGCCGAGCTTCTTTCTTAAGAATAGTGGTCACTGTGAATATTACAGGAACATGGTTAGATGAGCTATCGAGGCATGACTCAACATTGAAGAAAAGTTGAGACAGCCCTGTTGTGATGAAGAAGTCTAGAACGTCTGGCAGTCTGTTCTGGTCTGTATTAAAGTAGTTGGCTATCTAAAATTACCTAACATACGACGAGTTTGAGCTATTTACTGTATTGCCCGTTATTAATTTTTTATGAAGCCCTAGTCACCACATAATATCAAAAAGGCAAGATTTTAAAAAAGGAAATTCGGGGTCATTCACCTCGCAATACATACAACTGCATTTCTTTAAATTTGCTTTGTCAAATATACTCTAATGTAAATGTAAATAATGAAATACTTTTACGTTATAAATTGTCAATATACGGTCTTTGTTTCTTATTATTTCCTAGATACTTCCATCACGATTGCAAGAGATGCGATTTAATCTAATAACACCACTTGCTAGTAAATATGGTAAATGAAATTTTAAATCAACGCTAAAATACGTGTGGTAGCAGCGCTCCTAAACCCAATCATGCGAGTTATTGAGCACCGGCCTGTAACATTGCTCGTCACTACGAACCTGGATGTTCTGTGGTAAGATATTGGATTGCTCCATTTAAATTTTGCTCAACTTTTCTGTCTTTTCTATCGTAAAAAGAAATTAGTAAAAAATTCGACGTAGCTACAGAATGTATCTTTATAGGAAGGTATTGAATCAATTGTGCGATTTTTTAATATACTTACTAGCAGACTCGGCCAAGCTTTGATGTGGCTAAAGTTTTTGTTATATTACATAGTAGTAAACTATTCAAGGGAAACGGTAGGAGAACACCAGTCATGGGACCACCATGCTTTTTTGGTGGTTATGCCATTAAATTGTAGCTTATGTGAAACGTTGGACTTTCAACACAGCGCCATCTGTTAGAATTGTGACTGTCAAAATATAATAAACAAATAATTTGCAATAAAATAATATTACGGGTATAAATGATGTAAGCTATCCTATCTTTTAAGTTAGTTCAAACTGCACACGGTATGAAAATTTGATTGAAATCGGTATTAGGAGTCCATAGCGGACACGTAATTTATATATATTAAGATTTTGTTTTAACTTCAAAAGTGCTGTATAAAGGATATGCTGCTACATATCTCTCATCATCTCTTATGTATAATAAAGAAAATCAGTGGCAAACCTTGGTTTTGGTCTCAAATTTCAGCATCTGTATTTCGATATTTTTCTTAATAGGCAAATAGGTGATTCAAACATTTTGATGTCAGATTTTAATATCAGGTCTAAGGCATCTTCACGACGTTTTCCTACACCGTATAGGCGAGCGTTAAATACGCACATAGACAATTCATTGTTTCTTTTTCGTATGGAATCTCGCTGTTGCCCTTGAGGGCCTCGGACCGGCTTGGGCCGTCGCGGGGTGTGCAAAGTAAACGTCCACGCCTTCCCCGGTGGCTTTTTACCCTTATACAGATAAAAGTCAAAGACAGCTTTGACTTTTATTATTTGCCGAGTGGCTTTTAATTTGTTGTTAGCTACGGTGATTGGATCGTGCGGATCCCTTAGTATAAATCGGGGCCTCCTTTGGCCCTTTTTTTGTTAGGAAGGGACAAGCCATTCCATCCATCACAGCACACTAAAAGAAGCCAGCATTTTTTTTAAATAAACACATTAACTGAAGAAGTGGAAGATGTAAAATGTAACCAGTGTAATTTAAAAAAAAATCCGAATAGTTCGCGATTCTTTGTGTCGGTAAAAATAGCTATCAAGCGGCTAGGGAGTTTACATACCACACGGTATTCATGATTAAATAACACGCTTGCGCTGGCAGCTTGGCTAATGACCCGCCCGTAGGACACTGGGATATTGCATATTAGTGCAAGCCTCGCGGCAGTTCATATCATAAAATTGACTTCTGGGCAGTGAATAATAAGCCCCGGGCAGCAAATCCGAAAAGCATATTAAATTACACAAACAAGCATAACATTAACACGATATTTATATTTTGCGTTTGAAATATAAAAGTAAATCAAATAAATTACACCGACTTACCGGCACCTATATTACACTACTAACGATTTAGAAACTTATATTGTTCCGATAGTTTTAATATACTTGTATGAAATTATGGTATGATCATCTCGATATGACTTTTAACTTTTATAAAGTTTGTGGACAAAAGTAGTGGGAACGTGTGCCATAAAATACAGATCGCGAGTTAAAAAATGTTCAGACTTAATTAATAGAACTCTATTGCCACTCGAGTACATTTCATTGTAAAAGTTTAAATTTAGAAGGGTCAAGTTTCAGAGCGGCATTGTTGGTTCCAGTTTTAATGAAAGTATCACAAAGCAGCTTACGGATTCGCAGCCGCCCAACTTTTTGCCTTTATAATAAAAACTCCGAGAATAGCATAACTGGCTAACTTTTATACTAAAATTTCAGGTGAGTTTCACTTCCATTGATGTTAAAAATTGTTTGAAATAAATTTTTCACCAATAACTTTTATTTTACATATGAAATCATTTAAAGATATTCGACTATTATTTGAATCACAACTGATATTTATTTTAAAATGATCTCTACAAAGCTGTTACGATGGCAAAGCAGAAATCAAATAATAAGCTGCAAAAACACTAGTCCTAATTTCATTACGATTGAATTTGGGTCGCCGTAGAGACCCGAACCTTGGACCTGCAATCGAAAGTGCTTAACATTTGGTTTTAGCAACCAGTATAATTTACACTTTTTCTTATTTTTTTAAAATAAATCTGAAGTGTGAGAGCTAACTCAAATGGTTTAGCAGAGAATAGCTTTATTCGTTAGAAAAGTATTAAGAAAAATATTTAAACCTTTAAAGGACGGTGAATAACTATGGTGACCAGCTAATAACAATGTCGCGAACAAAAGCAGCAAAGATGGTGACTAACCACGACAACAATGTTCTTGGAGGATGATTCTGCTCTAGACTAAGGAATATGTTGTAAGTTATGATATGTATCTTGGCTATCCACTACATAAACAACAAGTTTTTTGTCGGAATTTCCAGTCCTCTACTGCCAGTCCTCCTTTAATGTAAATGAGAAACAATATATTATATTATCGGAATCTTATCTCCCTCTGTATATCTGGCATATTTAGAACCAAACGGAAGCATGAACATATAGTACGAAAGTACGAATAATACGATTAGACATCATTCTTATGAACTGCCAAACTGACATAGTCGTATTGACGTATACGAATACTTGACAAAACTACCGATCGTTGATACTAAGGGTTGACAATTGACATATGAGTGAAGATCTGAGCGACACAAACTATAATTTTTATACAAATTTAGTTTTCGACTTTCTACATACAGTATACACTACTGTTAAGGCATCTTCACTAAGCCCTCTTAACATATATGGAATTTGAATTTGTTAAATTCATTTGGCGTTTGTGGATTACTCTTTTAGAACGTCACGCCTGTCGCAGTGATTTTGTCGCAGGCTGCTGCTATCAAGGTTAATTGTCATTTGTCAGTCACTTCATCGTCAAATTAAGCGTCAAGATTAAATTCTACATTAATGACTAAACTCTAATCAAAGATTTGACAGATCTGTACCAATCATAATGCATAATATACCTGTTTTCATTTTCCTATTTTGGCAATTTATTAACTCTAATTCTATATGTATATAAAAAAAGGCATAGTGATTAAACTCACAAGAAGCATAAGGATATTACAGGAAAACATAAGATGGCATTTACACTATGGTCATGGGTAGGAAATAATAATTATATTATCTACTGTTATTTTATCATTATTGATTTACACTTCACGCTTTTATTTCAGGGTGCAAATTCTCACGGCCAACTCGGTCTAAATATAATAAGCGAACAAGTAAACGCACCTACTAAGATCACCAAAGACTTTTGGTCCAAGACGAAACAAGTTGCATGTGGAGGTGGACACACATTACTGTTAGATGATGAAGGAAAGCTTTTTGCTTGTGGCTGGAATGTTAAAAAACAGTTAGGCTTGGTAGATGAAGCTATTTACTTTGAAAGGGTTTGGTGTCTAAGTGGTATTAATTTTACAAATATCTCCTGTGGTTGGGACTTTAGTTGTGGTGTTACCGATGAAAAATATTTATTTGTGTGGGGTTCTAATAGCCATGGTCAATTAGGGCTACCTAAAGAACACTTTTCAGATGCTGTTAAACCAGTGAGGTTACAAGTCAATGCTTGTTCAGTATCTATGGGCTTGCGACATACAGCTATTATTAATTCAAAAGGTGAAGTTTGGACCACAGGATGTGGAAAACATGGTCAACTTGGTCTGGGTCCACATATTTTAATATCAGACAGATTTCAGAAGGTTCCATTGACAAGCATGGTGACACATATAGTTTGTGGACAAAACCATACATTAGCATGGAGTTCAGATGAAAAGGCTTTATATGTTTGGGGGGATAATAAACATAGTCAGCTTTTATTGGCATCTGAGAAATATAAAAAAGTTTATAAGCCACAAAAGATTGATATTGATGTTAAAAAAAAGGTGAAAAGACTTCTCAGTGGTTGGACTAATGCTTTACTGTGGTTGGAGGATGGTCAACTTCTTGCTTGGGGCAGAAATAACTATGGACAACTTGCAACAAATGAGCCATTTGAAGGAAAAATTATTCATATCAAATTACCAGGTATGTTTTACTATTCATCTAGTTCTAACCTTTTTAGAATAGTCTTTTCTAATTGTGTTGAAATATAAGCTTTTTTACTTGACATTTATGTACAAGTACAAGAAATTGTTTCTTCATTTTTCAGAAGAAAGGCAAGTCAAAGATGTTGTATTGGGCTCAGAACATACAGTTTGTTTAGCAACTGATAATACATTATGGGCATGGGGCTGGAATGAGCATGCTAATACTGGGACTGCATCTGGAGACTATGTATTCACTCCAAGTCTTATAACATTTGATCAAGATTTACATAGTCAAATTACACAAATATATGCTGGAAGTGCACACAATTTTGTAGTTACAGAAAAAGAAAGCAATGAATTATAGTTCAGGAACATACACTATCCAACCTAGTTGTTACAACTTTTTAAGTATATTATGCAATGTTACTAGTGAACTAAAGCTTGAACCTGTGATAAATATTGAATAAACCCTATTTTGTTATACATTTTATTATACTTTTAGGAGTTAATATCTTTACCAGTGTAGTGTAGTGTGGACTCAGTTTCTGCACTTAGATACACATTTAGTCCGTTGTGTTAATATTCTTTACCAGTGCCAAGCCCGAGACTATACAGCGGTATTTGGATACTGCTGCATGGGTTGTGAGATTTAAAGATGAAGACAGCCTTACCTCTTTGGTGTTTTTTTTTCGTGGGGAAATGCGATACGCATACCCTCCCGCGCCTGCGTGGCCAGGATTACACAAGGCGTTGCACGGTGGAACGGCGACGCGGATGGGCTGCGGGATTGACCTCCCCTGGCTTTCTCCGCCTCTTCTTTATGGCGCCGAGATTAAGGGCCACAATTCGGCCGTACACGCCGTTTGGCCCCGGCGCGGTTTTCTTTGTGGACTTCCGCTCTATTGCTGTCTCTAATTCCGAGGACGATACCTCAGGGATGATTTTGTTGTTCTATGCTCATCCCTTGTTCCAGATCTGGGGTACTCCGCTCGGGGTAAAGTTTTGCCACCACCGTGGTAAGCAGTACTGGCTTCATAATAACTGCCCAGGGGCGCAGTTTATTTGGTACTTGCGCCACCAGGGATCTCGCTCTATCGCCTCTAGTAGCTCCTGCCATGCCCTTTCTTTGGCTTCGGTGATCGCAATTCGTAGCGCCGGTTTAGCCTCTCGGAATGCAGTGCGTTCGGCTTGCTCTTCGGGACGTACGGGACGCAGTCTACGAGCCCTAGTGTAGGTATGACGTCCAGGGCGGCTTCCCTACATCGCGGCGTCGGATATGGACGTCAGAGCGCCACGAAACCACATTGCTTCGTCCTCGGTATTTTTAAGTTCTGGATTGGGGCATCGAGCCTGAACAGTTATGGCTAATTCCGCTTGCCCTATCTAAGCTAAGAGCCCACGTTGGGCCCAGTTTTAACGAACTTGGGCTGATTTCCGGATACGATGATGTGGAGAGAGTACGGAAGATATAAGAGTGATCTGATAGGGTCTCCACTCCCGTCAGGACTTCCCAGCCCTGGACCCAGCGGGACAGGTGTTGGCTTACGAATGTTACATTTACGACCGATTCTCCATTCGCTCGCACGAACGCAGCTTTGGAGTTTGCAACTAACAAATTGTGCCTGCGGCTCACTGAGAAGTGCACACGACATACAGAAGGGAGACACGCTAGCGCTATCTAGTTCCCTTAGACGTGGTTGTATTTTACCACCTCACGTAACACATAGACGTTCTAAATAATCCTAGTAAATAATAAATAGTTACAGGTCTTCACTTTCTATTGTGTTGTTACACATCTAATCTATAATGTATTATTTTTCTTACTAAAATTTTCAGGCCAAGACTAGATATTCCAGATAAATATATTGGATTGAGATAATAAAAAGAGTATTAAGTTCTCTTTACAATTTTACATAGATACTTTATATTTTATTATAAATATTTATTTATATTTTTGTTTAGTATAAATGTTTTAAAGATTTTAAATATAAATATAACAATAATATAATTTTTAATACATAAAAGTTGGTGTTAAAACACAAAACTGGCAACTGGTGCTAAGAGGTTAAATGTGTATTAATGTTGTCCAATTGATTTAATACAAACATAAAACAAGGTAAAAGTATTATACTGTAACATTAAAATAAATTACTTTGATATGGTTTATTTATGTCAAACATTTGTAATGATAGGTTCATTAAAAATTCTTATAATTTTAGAGAAATCATAACTCTGACAAAGTAAAACTGTAATCACTAGCCATATTGAAAAATACATTTGCATTGTAAGGCAATACTTAATACTTATAATGTTTATTTTTCTGCCTAAAAACAAGAATAGACAGAGGAAGCAGAGTGCACTTCACTTTCACCTTTTCTTTTCTGATTTTTGTGTTTTACGTTTTTCCTTTTTTTCTTCCTTTAGTTGCTTTTGTTTTTCCCTGAAACCAATTTGTTAAAACATATTAACAGATAACTATATACTAGTTTATGACTACAACTATTTCCAAGATGTACTTAAAATGTGATTTCTTTTAAATATAAATTTAATTTTTACTGTGTATTTATTTATTGGCCTGCAAATAAAAACTTTTTCAACCACATTCATAAGTGTATCTTATAATTACATGATCTTAACTTAATTGAATTAAGTCTAGAGATATATTTCAGTAGGTTTTTATGACATTTTAAAATGAATATACCTATCTTCTCTATCCTTTTCTTTTTTTTTCTGTGCTTCTAGTCTTGCTAGTTCACGGCGCTCTTTAGCTGCTGCAGCAACATCTAATGCATTTGTATTTTTTACTAGTTCAGATCCCTCTGTCTCATCTACAAAAGTTGTTTCTTCCTATAATGTTTAAAATTTAATTATTAACATTTTCTTAAATTGATGAGGTTATGTCACATAGCTATTTATAGCTAAATAAATGGGTAATGTGCTAGTGATTGTGTTGTGTTAAACTTGAAGAAACTCAATTACGAGATATAACAACTTTTAAAGGTTAAGCAATTAAATTAGGTGGTTTTCTAGATCTAAGAAAAAATAAATTTTAACTAAATAAGGACCAATAACAATATAACCTCATTATCAGATAGTTGGCTGTACTGAGACAATATTGCTTCACGGATCTTCTTTTCTTCATCTGTGTACTCTCGTCGCGTAGTTGTCGCAAAGGACTGAGATTCTAGCATCTTTGTCAACTGAATATCAACATCTATATCTGCTACCTGCTTAGGACCCTCATCATTTGGCTTGCAAGACTCCCATTTCTCTATTATTTCATTAACATGACTGGTAATATCTGCATCCTGCCAAATTATAAATTAAAATACTTTAAATTACGAATTTAATGGGTAAATTTAAGAAAAAAATAAGCTATAATATATGGGAGGTATATCACATACTTACCACAATTTCAGAAAGTATGCCTTCTAATGCATCTTTCTTTTCATCTATAGAATCTTCAGCTTCCAAAATACCCGATATATATGATCCAAAAACACCTTCATCAGTTTTAAGGGATTTTAATTTATTGTTCAACCACGGCTCAAATTCCGTCATGACAGCCGCCATATTGCTCCGGAGGTCCAGCTTTTGTTACAATTGACATTTCACTTAAGATAGTTACGGGGAACTACAAGTTTTATATTCTGTAGGTTCCTATGGAAACTACTTGACAACTGACTATTTAGTACTGACATCGAATTTTGTATTCCATGTTTTATTTGATTCTGTGTAGGCAATGGTAATTTGAATTTGTCTTGTCATTCTCGAAACTATATTATATGCGGCGTATCATTATTAGTTATTACTAAGCAATTTTAAATTGTTAAAATATTTAAACTTTGAACATATTAAACAAATACAATGTCAGCGCGTTACGATAGAGCTATTACAGTTTTTTCACCAGACGGTCATTTGTTGCAAGTTGAATATGCACAGGAAGCGGTACGAAAAGGATCTACTGCGGTATGTAAATTGACTTCTGACCGCCTAAAGTCTAAACACAATGTAAACATTTTAATTTTCATACTTTATAGGTTGGTGTTAGGGGTAAGGATGTGGTTGTCTTAGGAGTAGAAAAGAAGTCAGTAGCTAAACTGCAAGAAGAGAGAACAGTTAGAAAAATATGCCTACTTGATGACCATGTAGTGATGGCGTTTGCTGGTTTGACTGCTGATGCTCGAATTCTTATAAATAGAGCCCAAATTGAGTGTCAGTCTCATAAGTTAACAGTTGAGGATCCAGTGACATTAGAGTACATTACAAGATACATAGCAGGTCTTAAGCAGAAATATACACAGAGTAATGGCCGTCGTCCTTTTGGTATTTCTTGTTTGATTGGTGGATTTGATTATGATGGCTTCCCTAGACTATTTCAGACTGAACCATCTGGTATTTACTATGAATGGAAAGCTAATGCTACTGGCCGATCTGCTAAAACTGTTCGTGAATTCTTAGAGAAGAATTATACTCCTGAGGAAGTTTCAACTGAAAATGGTGCTGTTAAGGTAAACTTTTATATCAGTTTATTTGAAATTCTCCAAATCTAAATTTAGTATAACATTTAAAAAAGAAAAAAACATTATAAAATGTATCTTTACTGTTTAAATATTAAAACAGAACTTCAATATCATCAATATGTAAATTTGCTCTCTTCTATTTAGTTATGCTGAATATAATTACAATAACCCGATCTCTTATTAATAATTACAGTTAGCAATCAGAGCTCTTCTTGAAGTTGTGCAGTCAGGCCAGAAAAATCTTGAAATTGCGGTTATGAGACGCAATCAACCAATACAAATGTTAGATCTTGATACCATTAACTCGTATGTCACAGTAATTGAAAAGGAGAAAGAGGAAGAGGCAGAGAAGAAAAAACAAAAGAAGTAACTTTAATATGTATTTTTTATGTTTAATACATGTAATAAGGAATATTTTGTATTAATTACCTCTAATGTTAATACTTTTTATAAACTATGAATGAACAACACTATGAATTAAGTAAATCTATTGTTTGCGAAATCTGAGAGTAGAGCTCTTTTAGATTTGAAACACTATCTTGACTAGAGCTTTTATTAGTCATCATATCACTGAACATTTGATCCCATTCCCCATTGTAATGGTTAATGTCATCATTAGACTGAAACAATAAAACATTCTATATTACAAGAAATTTTTAAAAATCTATAATTTTTCTAAATTACATTTATTTCATCTGTAATCAATGATTAAGATTTAGCTGTGTAGAATTATATGCTATTAGACTATTAGTATCCCAGTTTTTTTTCCTAGAATACTAAATTCTCATATGCAGAGACAGCCAAACAATTTGTTGAACCCCTGAAAGATCTTAAAGTTAATAATAGATTTTCTATAATAAAGTGAATAGTTACCTCATTAAAACTTATGTCATCATTGCTTACTGATGGTAATACACAATTCAATGAAGAATCCTTTAAGTTCTTTTTCTTAATAATACCCTGATCCATGTTGCTGTTTATATTAAATTCTGCTAGTAATTCAACACCAGAATTTTCTTCAATTTGTTCAGAATCGAGATCAGGCATGTTTAAGAAATGAGTAGGATAGTTGTCATTTGTTTGTTTATTTGAATCCTCAGAAAAATGCATAAGACTCTCCTGTGGTACCACGCTACAATTTTTTTTACATTATATAACTTTTAGAAATTAGTAAGCATTCAGAAAGAGCTAGAAAATGTCTTCATTTTTAAATTATAAACTGTCTATATTATTTTTTTAAAATTTTTGTGGTTCTTAACTTACCCAATAGTTTCCATTACAGTATGAGTTTCCATTTCATCACTAGTAGCTGACTTTTCAATGGCTGTATGTAAAAGATGGATTTAGGTAGGTAAAGGAATTAAAAAGGAAAAAGAGGGAATATACTATGAATTGACCTGCTTGTTGGATATTATTTTCAAAACTCTTAAAAGGACTTTCACCAGGAATCCAGTCAACATCAAAACTTTCTTCTTGAAAATCTTCGTGTTCATCTAAAAATTGTTTACATTTATGAAGTTATAGGTACCTAATATAATTAATAATAAGTACCTACTTGATAAATTTATTAATAAACTTTAAAAAGCTTACCATCAAATTCAGCTTGATAAAATTGTTTTGTTGAATCTTGACTGTATACATTTTGAACTGCTTTTTTAAGTGCCACTTGCAGAGCCCTTCGCGCCTTTTGCAGTGGAGTCATATTAAGTAAGTGATCAGTATTCCCAAATATATTCTGTGAAATAATTTATTTTTATATTTTGCAAATCATCATCTCATCTCTCATCTGATGTTAAGTGATACCGCCCATGGACACTCAATGCCAAAAGGCTCGCGAGTGTGTTGCTTTTAAGAATTGATACGCTCTTTTCCTGAAGAAAGAATACATATAATATTTAAATAAATAGCTAACAATCAACAAACCTTTACTTTAAAGTTCTTTTTCATTGTAAGAGCCTTCCTTGTTATTTTATTGAGTAATTCTGGACGGTCAAATTGAAAATAATCATGCATGTATTCGTGCATGTAAGGGTTACTAGAGTTACAAAGAGGGTCTTGTAAATGTGATGTAACTTTCCTAAAGCCATACAAATTTAGCTGTCTGACAAAACTAGAAATATTTGTTGTCTTAAATATAGAATGGTTGCATCGTAAATAAGTATGCAATACTCGATAATTCAAAAGAATAGTTCGTCCTGTCCCTCCCCATAAAATAGCATCGGTGTGTAAATCCAATAGATACCAAAGTTTTTGAGGAAATCGCATTTGCCTTAAAGCACTCGAAACTTCCTGCATTTTTATTTATTTTTACGACCAAATAGAAATACTAAAAGTTAAAAATTCGCGCCTGAGGTAATTTGACACCTGACACATTAAGCATTTGTTTTAGTTTATAGGTATCTATGAATATTTAAAAAAACGATTACATACGAAGATACACTCAAATAATTTTTGGTGGAAAATTGTATTGGATTTTGACATACGGGAGTCGTAGTTCGCGCTAAGTCTCGTGAAACGTGACAAACAAAAGTAAAGGATAAAACTCTTTTTGATTAATTTTCGTAATCAATGTTAGTCCGTTATATCTATAATTCAACAACTCAAATAATTGATATCCATACAGATAATTTTATTAATGTGTTGTTTTTCATTACAATAATTAATTGCTTTAACTCGTGAGGAGAACGATCATTGATTACGTAATAATTGTGATGCTTACAAACATTTTGTATAAAAACAAAATTTTCTCGTCCAATCTATCCCCTTTGGGGTAAAGACAAGAAATGGGGCAAAGGTAAGAAAGCTTTACCCCGTTTACCACACCCCTAGGGGACAAATACATATCTAATTATATTTTTAAGGTAGAATATATAACGCAAAAAAGTTGGAGAGACTGGGGCTGCGAGTGCCAAATAACCACACTAGGCATGGTAAGCGGTCTCAATTGATTGCGGTGCCACGAGCGCGTACTAATTTACTCAGGGAAGCACCATTTACGCGTGTCTTTCTGGATATATTTAGTTTGGCTGAGTTCACAAGCATTGCATTATAAAAAGGTTTAAGTTTTGTTTTCTTGTTTATATTATGTTCTTAGTTTTATTTTTGTATTAAGAGCTAATGTTTTCTATTGTATTATTTTTACAGTAACTTAATGTTACTGTAAAAATACAAAATAAGGCAATAAATAAATAAATAATTGCCACTTCTTTTCTACCATTTCTATCTAAGGCTCTTGAGCTCCTCATACACTCGCAACTTAGCGAATTACTAAAAAAAACTTCATACTAGACTCTCCAATCTGGGTTTCGTCCGGGGCATAGCACAACTACTTATAGCATTAGATATAGGGTTTCTGACGACATCCACCGGGGATGGATGGTAAGCAACTTACTGTTCTCGTTCTCCTTGACTTGACGATATCTACTAAATATGTAATTACGCAAAAATAACACACAATATAATTCTTCGATTGCTATTTTAGTGCTTATTATGAGGCAGGAAGACCATAAATAAAATTATTAAAATGATGATGTCGCAACTCACGCATTATACAGCGACATCTGGTCATTAGTAGAAAAAACCTTTTGCTGATTTTTTCAAACGCAGTGCAACTTGGAACTGTCAAATTAGAAGTCGCCACTGTCATTCGGCTATTTTGTGATTTGTTATTTAATTTTACTGTTATGAGTTTACTGTTAAGAGTTTACTTATTTTATTTATCCAACAAATCACAAACATATTGGTTCAAATTTGGAAACTAGTAGACCGTATTTATTTAGAGAATTCGTTTAATTTATTTAATAGCTAGGGGTGTTAATTGCAATCACTTTTGTGTATGTTTAATTTTTGGCTAATAAATGAAATATAGTGACTCATAAACAGTCATAGAAAGGTGCTATAATTTATTTTTAAGTACCATGAATAAATCAAGGTAAGGTTTATAAAGAGAGAGAGACCGACTCAACATGACAAAAAAATAAACAGTACGTTAATGCTTTCAGATTTTCTATGTTGTTGTTGGAGCCAGGAGAGATCTATTTCGAAGATTATTCGTGTTCAATGTACAATGAAGAGGTTTTAAAAAATAAAAATATCCCTGTAATACAGGGTCGTTTGAAGCTCTGCTCAAAATCTCTTGTTTTTGAACCAAGAGACTTGTCCTCACCCCTTATTAAGATACACTTTAAAGAATGTATAGAGATCTTGCATGTAAATGACTGTGATATAAAAAATGTGATAAAATTTGGGATGAAGCAGTATTGTGAAATGTTGGAGGAAAATGTTTTAGCACCTTATAAGTTTGTATATGTAAGCAAAGACTTCTATTTTGCTCTTGATTTTGTGTCTGTTGATGAATGTTTAAATCAAATGCATCAGTTGCACAGAGCTTCAACATTACATGCACCTGAACACAATAGCATGATAGCTACAATATTACACTCAAGATATATGAGAATGGTGTTTGATCCAGTAATGATGGAAGATTATACTGAAAAAATTCTATGTGAATATCAGGTTGAAAAGATATCTCCCCTAGTTCGACATCAGGGGCGGTTAGCATTAACTCCAACTACTTTATACTTTCAGCCTTTTAGTAATATAGATTGTGTAAGTAATTTTTTTGGAAATGAAAGAAAACACAATTTTTTTATATAACACTAATCTTGAATTTTTTTTTTTAGATTCCCATTTTAAAAGTAAGTCTTGGACATATTAAAAGGATGTACAAAAGAAGATTTTTGCTGAGGCAAGTTGTATGTATCATTATAAGTGTGGTTTTCTTATTTTATGTTGAATAAGCTCTGTTTATACTGTACTCCTTGTAATGTTTATAAAAAAGTGCTAATTGCCAATATTGATAAAAATAAACAATAAATAATAATATTTCTCTCTCCCAGGCCCTCAATGACATTATATACTTCTTTCTTTACTTCTAACAATATCTTATGTGTAGTGGTATAATTTTTATTATTTATTTTCAGGGCTTAGAAATATATTGCTCTGATGATAGTGCAGTATCTCATATTTATCTATCATTCCAAAGTACTAAGGAAAGGGATAAATTATATAATACTCTTGAAACATTACCAAATGTTAGTCTGGAGAGAGTCCACATTGAAGAGATGACATTGCAATGGCAGAATGGAATTGTTTCAAATTATGATTACCTGGCCTATCTCAATTGGTTAGTATTATTGTATTTATTAACTTACCCAAGATTAAATTTTGATAGAACCAGAAATGGCATCAGAAAGTAGGGTAACAGTCAAAGTTTTAATGTTACTTATGATATATTTATTAGTAAAATGACTCATTTGGATTGGTTTTTACAAAATTTGTAAGAATCTACTAACAAAAGATATTTTATAAAATTAACTTGAATTCGCTAAGCAAAACATGTTTAGTCTTGCAGATAGAAGTAAAAATGATCTCACACAATACCCAGTGTTTCCTTGGGTGGTTGCCGACTACATATCTGAAAGTTTGAATATGAATGATATGGAGACTTTTAGAGATTTATCTAAACCAATGGGAGCTCTCAACCCTGACCGTTTAGAGAAGTTACTGGAGAGATATAATGAAATGTGCGACCCAAAGTTTATGTTCGGTTCTCATTATTCTGCACCAGGCCTTGTTCTATTTTATTTAGTAAGTTTTCATGACTTTTTTATTTAAAAAGTTTATTATCTTCTATGTCATTTAATTTTAAGATAAGTTTTTCAGATTTTTTTAGTAATACTAATATCCCTTATAATAAAAAGTATTCCTTGAATAGAAAAAACCCTAGTTAAGTTTCTGAATATATACAGCTTTATCAAAATTGAATTAGCAATTAAAACTTAATTGTAGCAATTTTTATTTTTTGTGTAATGCTGATTTATTGCTTACTTTTATTAAGGCTAATAAAAATAAGTAGACTACAAATTTAACCTAAATTTCCACGCTTATAATTCCAAAAGCTTTCTAATGAAAACAGTACCGTTTACAGTTATTTATTTTGAGTTTAAAATAATAAACCTGTCCATGTTTCCAAGTAGTATGATTTTTATAAACTTTAAAATTTTATAAAAATCATACATCATCATCAGACATATTAGTCCATTGAAATGTTACATTTTTTAGGCCTTACCTTGAGTTTTTTAGAGGACGCAATTTTAATTTTTTGATGTGTAGAGGGGGTCAGTGTAAAGCTAAAAACAAGTTTGTGGGGTCGCTACGCCAACTCCACAAACTTGGAGTTAAGCTTGTATTGACCCCCCCTACATGTTCCATAAATAAAATTGCGTCCTCTAAAAAACGCAACCCCAAATGTAACTTTTCAATGGACTATATATGCATATATATATACATCGTTATTAGTAATTCGACGTATCCCCGATAGGAATTTGTATTTTATGTAAAAAAATATAGAAGTGATATCGTTTTTCGTCAAGCATTTTTAAATTTAATTATTTTTATAAATCATAAGAAAAGAGATTTCAATTGATACTTTTTTAGAATATATGTTATTTATTTAAAAAAAAAAGCTAAAAAACATGATGAACTCCAAAATTATCGCAAGTAGTCAACCACATCTAACGGGAGTAGGTACGTCGAATTACCAATATACTGCACAAATATAAAGCAAAATTTTGTTAGTCATTCCGACCTCTACGGTTTCAATAAGTCGAGACTTAGCTTTGAGCATGACTTCCATATGTCAATTTCTAAATATTTTAAAAACTTAATGTTGCAAATTATTTACTTACAATAATGTGTTAGTATTTTTTTTTTCAGGTAAGAAAATATCCACAGTACATGTTGTGTCTACAAAATGGACGATTCGATCATCCCGATAGAATGTTCAACTCGGTGAAGGATGTCTATAATAATTGTTTAAGAAATATGTCGGATTTTAAAGTGAGTTCTTGAATATATTGCTTCAATTAAGTATAGGCCATTACTAATGTTTAAATCAATGGCTGTATTGTTAGATATTTAAGAATAATAGTTTTCTTATTCTTGATATTGTCATAAGGAACATATTATTAGGTCCTTACATATGAAATTGGCGTTTTGTATGGGAGGAACAAAAAGTCGAATATTTTTAAATATAATATATTTAATTAATCAAAGTATGAACCATTGTTTTCTATGCACTTTTGCCATCTCATAGGTAGTTCATTGATCCCTTTACTAAAAAAACCAGTCGGACGGGAATCAATAAAATCTGTGAAGGCGATTTGGACTGCCCCATCAGAGTTAAATTTTTTCCCTTGAAAGAAGTTGTCCAAATTTCGAAAAAAATGGTAATCTGTTGGAGCAAGGTCCGGGGAGTACGGAGGATGTCTTAGACATTCCAATTGAAGCTCTTCTAATTTGGTAGCCGTCTGTTGTGCAGTGTGTGGTCTAGCGTTGTCGTGAAGTAGCAGTGGCGTGGAGCGATTGACCAGCCTAGGTTGTTTAGCCGCTAGCTTTTCCATCATCTTTTGCAATTTCTGACAATAGACATCAGCCGTAATAGTCTGACCAGATTTGAGAAAACTGCAATGAACAATACCGGCACTAGTCCACCAAACGCTTACAAGTAACTTTTTTGGGGTTAATTTTCGCTTGGGGCAGGATTTGGCTGGCTGGCTAGGATTCAACCATTGCGCTGAGCGCTTCCGATTATCGTTTACCATTTTTCATCACAGGTAATGATTCGGTTTAAAATACCTTCATTATTGTGCCGGTTCAGTAATTAAACGCAGCAGTCGACGCGCGTTTGCCGGTTTGCTTCAGTCAATTCGTGAGGTACCCATCTTTCAAGCTTTTTAATCTTCCCAATTTGCTTCAAGTGAATTAAAACAGTTTTATCACTAACACCGCAGCCTGCAGCTAACTCGGACGTGGTTTGCGATGGATCCGCTTCCACAATAGCCTTATATACTTCATTATCAACTTGGGTCTCAGGCCGTCCACGGGGCTTGTTCTGCAGGTCGAAATTTCCAGAACGAAAACGTTGGAACCAAAAACGAACTGTGTTTTCTTTTGCAACTTGACCGCCATACACATCATTTTGTAAAATGAGTGACGCAAACAGAAAAAAACAGAAGAAAAAAACAAATGAATGACGGTCATCGAAGCACAAATACATGAGTAAATAGTTGTACAAATTTGAATTTGGAATTCCTTACCAAAGAGAAGAACATCGTGATTAAAGTGGCCAGTACGAAATACGCCAATTTCATATGTAAGGACCTAATACTTAGATAAGTACGCTTTTATTTCCCGGTCATAGATATCTATTGATTACAACTCAGTGATTTTTAATCTTTATGGTGTTAGTTTTAATGGTTACAATAGTATCAAACCATTTAAACGATTTTGTATATAGAACGCACCAATATCATTTTCAATTCACCTATAGCATTTGATTCGCCCTATGTTACACCGACATTTTTTACATCTTTAGATGGCATTCTATAGCTATATATGTTTGATTTTAAATAAACAAAAAAATTTCGTCTACCGTCATCTTACTGACTCCGCTGGCACGTCGACCCAAATTGAGCCTTGGCCTCCGAAACTAGAGAACGCCACCTTTGCCACTTGGAGCTCGCATAGGTCTTTCTCATCGGCGTCTCTCCAGCGATATTTGGACCTGCCATCGGGTGACCGACCGGATACGCTTATTTAACTCTCCGATCTTATCCCATTCTCTCAAGATGACCAGTCCAACGGAGTCTTTGGCCCATCTGCCCACATTTTTCTATTATGTATTCCGCATAAATATACCTTGACTTAATGACCCATAGATGGGGCAGAGGGCGTCCACAGTGGGTCTCTATCGCGCTCTGTCTTGAGCCTTGTATTCATTCACCTCGCTCCAAGTCTTTCCGGTTCTCTTTGCCTCATCTGTACGACGTTAGGTTTGCTTAGGACGGTTACGCTTCCGCTTTCCTTACGAGTTCCAATCAAGCGCTAGTTCCTACTTGGGGTATAATTAGAACTTCTTCCGAGTGTATGGTCTATCACTCTATCCCTTTCCACTTGCTTCGCACCTTCTGGATAATCGGAGTTCCTCGGCAACGCTCCCAAACTTGCTCGTTAGAGATCCGCGCAAATATGATAATCTGAAATTGGTTAACCAAAAACAAAACAATCTAATATATCTATTACAACATTTCTTTAAAAATATCTAAATTTTTGGAACATTAACGTTTACATTAAGCATGTATTTTTGCAATATTGCAGGAATTGGTCCCCGAATTTTATGATACGAGTACAAAAGGTGATTTTCTAGTGAATATGTATGATATCGACTTCGGCGAAAGGCACGATGGTACCAAGGTTGATAGTGTCGGCCTGCCTCCTTGGGCGATGTCCCCTGAAGACTTTGTAAATAAATTGAGGCTTGCATTAGAGTCAGAATATGTTTCACGGCATTTGCATTTATGGATTGATCTCATTTTTGGTTATAAGCAAAGCGGTGAAGAGGCAGTTAAGGCATATAATGGTAAGTGATATTCATTTCTTCTTTGGGCTTCTCTGCTTAGATAAAGTATATTTAGATCATAGGTTTACGGTGAGGTTCAGAAATCAGACTTATCGCGAACTATGACTCCGTCAAAATCCAATACATTTTGATGTGAAATATTTGTAGACGCGGGTAAAAGCGATTGTTGGTGTGGTGACGCGTCGACATGCGCTAGCGACTGTGCTATTCTCTTCCCGCTCTGTTTAGCGTTACGCCATCTCTCTCGCCATTTTTTGTTTGTATTAAAGGGAAATAAATGTTAATTAAATAAACACTCTTCTTTTTGTGGAAGAAATCGTAATATTTTATTTTTTCTGTCTTTTATGCATATTACTTGTACTTAATTTCGATATTTCACATCTGCCAGGCGTCCCGTGACGGCTCACAATTTTTTTGACGTACGGGAGATGTCTCGTTGCGGAGTCCCTAAAACTATGTTTTTCGGTTTCCATGCCAACAAAGCAGCGCGGGAAATATCTAAAACATTAAAACCTCTTTTGAAACAACGGCTTTTGACTGTTTTACATTTGTATACTGTTATGAAACTATAATTTAAAAAAAAAACAATATGTTCTAATTCATTATTTAATATACACGGTCTTAGGACTCCCACACAAAACTGCGATGCGATGCGATGCGAATTTCTGCGATACGATTTAGTGCGACGTACCGTTTGGTAGGGCGACCATTCCTTCGTAGTCAGCCGTACTGGACGTGTTTTTAGGACGCGTAAGATGGATCGCAAAAAGATAATTGCACTGCTGTTATTGTTAAATAGATATAAAAGAAAAAGAAGATTCTGGGTTCATCCATTTATTACGATTATGAACTCTGATGCAAACGTTCACAGGCGCTCTTCCACGCATCTTGCTTAATAAATTTATTTTTATAATGTTCATCACTTGTGTCCCAAAGGACAGGACGCTCCTCAATTAAAAATATTAAAAAATCCATATCATATTCCGCAATTTTTTATAAACAAAGAAGGCGGCGGAGGCGCCGCGCGTCTTTCTCTAAAGCTGTCTCAGAGCGGACTAAAATGGCGTCACCAAGGATGACGTAATATCGCAAGCATGTGCGATGCGAAGCAGATCGGAACTTCTTGCGGTGCGTTCGTGCGAATTCGCAGATATTTGCGATGCGATGCGAATTCGCAGTTTTGTGTGGGAGCCCTTACATGTTGTATTATTAATATAGTACGGGAGGTAGCAACGTTTTCGAGAAAGAATTTCAGGTCAGCTGATTTTGTGATATGTCTTCCTTCTTGCACTTTCGGTTAGAGTCTGGGCAATCTGGCTGGCGGTAGCGGTTGCGTTCATTAGTGCGCATCCTATCTGTCCAGGTAATAATCCTGGATTTTAAAAGCATTTTAAGAAGCGTAATTTTTCATTTTTCGTTTTTAAATAAGTCTACCTGACATACTTTTTTTATTGCCAGACATTTTTGACAATGCTATGTGCCAGACGCGATTTTAAGTTTTTTTTTATAAAAATTTCAAAGTATTTTAGAATGTCTGTAATTTTAATATTATGTTACTTAAATATAAGAAAAACTGAAAATGAATTTGCCAGACATTAATTCTATTGTTAAGCCTTGAATTAAAATGAAAAAGTCATGAAATGTATTGCCGTCTATGATGAAGCATTGCATTTTAAGAAGCGTAATTCTTAAAATCCTTTTAAAATCCAGGATATTACCTGGACAGATAGGATGCGCACTAATGAACGCAACCGCTACCGCCAGCCAGATAGCCAAGACTCTAACCGAAAGTGCAAGAAGGAAGACATATCAAAAAATCAGCTGACCTAAAATTCTTTCTTTTCAAACGTTGCTACCTCCCGTACTAATATGTTTAATTATAATTGAAATTTTCGTTATAAATATTATTTTATTTTGTATAGGAACTTTTTTTATTATTATAATGGCAGGCCCCATCACCAGTTGATGGGGCACCGTCACCTACGACGATATTGAATGAATTATAACAATTAAAATACTTAATTTTATAATATATCTTGTTACAATTTTGCGTAAATAAATGAATTATTGATTACATTATACAGAGTTACAGAATGCAGATTTATGATATTGATTTTTTTTAATTCCAGTATTCCACCACGTCTGCTACGAAGGGTCAGTAGATCTCGAAAGTATATACGATATGAATGATAGACACGCTCTCGAAGTACAAATTATGGAATTTGGTCAAGTTCCCAAACAACTATTCACAAGGCCACACGTTCGGAAGATTTTAACTATACCCAGCCCCCTCAAATCAGTTTACGAATACAAAATCGAATGCAACGATGAAATAAAACTCCATAAAGGGGGGGTTACTTGTGTTTTAAGGGATGCGGGGAGGATAGTGTCGGTGGGCAAGGATGGAGTTTTGAAGGTGTATGATGTGGGGTTGAGGAAGCAAATAAGAAGTGTCATTTTTAGTACGACCCCGCTGAGTTCTTGTGTGATGGTTGATCGGAATATTGTGGCTGTTGGCGCTTGGGATAATGAAATGTAAGTAATTTACTAGGAATAAGAAACTGTCACCCGCACTGCTACAGCGCACATCGTATAAATATTTTTTATTTGTAACACTATGACACATATGCATTATAGAATATACAATAGACATAACAGAGAGAGAAAAAAAAGTTAAAAATAAGAGATGGTTCAATGACAATGAGTTAGATAAATTTAATTCTAGGACATTCTAATAAACTATTGAATACCTTTTCCATAATTTTGAATACTTAAACGTAACTAAAAAAAACAAAGGCGAAACAGTCCTTGAAATAGGCTTCTGATTAGCTCAGAGTAAAAGGCTAGTAGGTGATCAGACTGACATGTTGAGTTTTGGATCTAAGTCCCGGTTTCCTCATGGTTTGCAAGCGTTCTCCTTCAGAAGAAAATTTTGATTTTTAAACAAAATTATATGTTCTCTGGACTTATCAGACATCAGTTACTAGGATGCTTTAACCCAAATACGCATTTTCAAAAAAAAAATTGTTTTATTCTTTGCATTGGATCTTGCTATTAAATTTATTGATTGATAACGTATAAGAGCTCTACAGCTGAGTTTTACTAAAAATTAATTATTTATAAATTGTATCTCAAATTGAAGTTTTATTGTGAACAATTCATTAGCATTAATTGTTTTTTAAGTGTTAGTTTTTGTAATTGTATTGTTACATGGTTACTTTTATTATTTCATTATCCTTAATAGGGTTGCCTGGAAGAGATCGCTGTCAGCGATAAGGCCCTAATAAGTTCCGTTCTCTTTTAATAAATAAATAATAATAAGTAATAAAATATTAATTTTGTGTCCCTTTTAAAAAACATAAAAACATATTTCCAGATATCTTTATGACGTGGAATATGGAAGGATTATAGAAAGTTTTCGTGCTCACGATGATTCCGTCAGTTGCCTACAGTGGTTGGAAAAAGGTGAATATTTTTCAAATGTTTTTTAAACATGAAATTTAATTTGTCTATCTTTGAGCTTTTTATGAGAAATACAAAATTGATTATAAAAAAAATAGGTCTTCGTCTTACGAAGGCGTCATGATCCATCTAAGGGTTCCTCGTCGCTAACATATTAAATACAATTAATAAAATACAATTTTTAAGTTTTAGTCCTTACCTCTATTTCTATTTTAGAGCGTTACCTAGTGTCGGGGGGTTGGGATTGCGTGGTCCGTGTTTGGGCAAACGTGGGCAAGGTTGGCCAAGCGTTGAAAGGGTTAAAAGCTGAATTCGACCATGACGGGAAGATCACTACATTGGGTTATAGGTATGTTAGTTATACCTACCACGAGTATAGTTAAGAAATATATATGAGCGTGTGTCATTGTTAACTGAGTACAGTAGACGTTTCTTTTCTTTTTCTTTACTTTTCAGTTTGTGCTGGCTTTCACTGTTTTTATTAATATTTAAATTTTGTTTTAATGATATTTGTTGTACGTCGAAGGTGCGTTTCACATTAAAAATCTACTAAAATGGCTATAATAGACTTTGTTATTGGGATAGACTTATTTGGAGTATCGGGCAAGGATATTCTTTCCTTTCATTGACATTTTTTAAATCGTCCGGTAAAAGTGACCGCCGTGAAAATTTTTTTGACTCTAATAATACTGTTTTCTCTTATTTTTCGTCACAATATAAGCAAGCAAGAAATTAAAAAGTGCGTGCGTACAAAGTACACATGTCAGAAGTGAAACTTTTTGGCAAACTAATTTATAAGTCTTGTTCATATTTATACAAATCTAAAACTTTAGATTTTCGAGACTTAGAGGGAGGGAAAAGAAAGATATTATGTTAGGAATTTAATTGTCATTAAAATATTAAAAGTGTCTAAAATTAATACTACATAATATATATAAATTTAATTTTTTTAAATTAATTTTTTCGAAATTTTAATTTTAAAAAAGGAATTTCTATAAGATAATTCGCCCTTCTCACTCTCTCTCAATCGCTCTCTCCCTTTTCTTCGACAAAATCGCTGCACATCTTCGTGACGCAAATATTATTATTATTGCGTTTCATCCGTAAATATTTTACCTTCATGCGCCTAAAGAAGTTTCACTTCGAAAACAATTGATAAGTATTGTCAGCCGGTATTCCAACGACCACTAGGCTACCACTAGGCTGACTCTTTCGTAATATAACAAAAGAAGAAAAATCTTTTTAACCGGATTAAAGTTATGTATTATTATAAATTTACAATTATTTAACATTTTTTTTAAATGTGTAAAGGTTATGTTAATCAAAGAAAATACTACAACAAAAGAATTTTAAACTATGTATATAGAGGTATTAAAAAAAACTTTATTAACAATTTCAGACATCGCAAATTTGAACTCGACATACTAGCTGGTACAACAGATGGTGAGGTCTATATATGGGAATTTCGTTCTAAGGACCTCCTACACAAGGTCAAAATACACTCACAAGCTCTGTACGGGGTGTGTTTTCTGTCTGAAGACCGAGTTGTCACTGCCGGGGAGGATGGCGACTTGATTGTGACGGACCTCAATGTATTGCACTCGGTAAGTTGAGATTAACATATAGGGAATTCACTGAACGACATTCGAACGAATAGATAGTCTTGGAATCACTAACCGAGGGCCATTTTTTAAAGGAATCTTATAAGTATTCTCACACACTCACTTATACACTCAAGAGTGTTATGCGCCGCTAATGCTATTAAAAATTAGAAGAATTTGTTTTAAATAGTTAAAATATAAACCAAATAGTAATTAAATATATATATAATAAATTTGTATTATATCTATATATATCTATCTATCTATCTAGTGTGTATTATATCTCAATGTAAACCCAAATTCTCACACCGCCAATTTTCTTATCTGTCTAGTCAGCTATACAACAAACTTAATAGAATCCTTAATATTAACCCTAAATTATTATTCGAAATTAAAACATTAAGCTTCATTCACTTAACTACGAAGAAACTGAATTGCTAGTTCAAGTATAATTTTACCATTCTTAATTTCCTCATTGCACTATTTACACTATTTTACACTACCACCCTCCACCTCCCATCCCATCCATCCCTTTCCTTAAGATTATCATACTGGTGCATGTAAACCTGTAAATCTCAACAATGTAAACCTATAGTTTGTAATTAGTCTTAGATTTCTGTTTTTCTTTATAATATAGTATTTTAGTTTCAAAAATTGTTAAGTTACTATTTCGTTATACCATTGGAAGAGCGGAGTACCCTGATGTACAGGTCTCCCTAGACTTAGTTCATGGGCTCCAATATCTGTTAAAAATGTAACTTGTTATTGAATAAAGATTTTTGAATTATTATTAAAAGCTTTTTTTGTACATCATTTGTGTTTCGCGAAATACTGTATCGTCTCTTCTGGTTGATTGAAATTAATGTTAACTGAAGTTTTCGGTCTAATTTATGTACTTATGTAGTCATGCACAGCCAACAATATTTAATCCAAAGAAAACACTTTTTTACTGGATTGAAGTTATGTATTATTATAAATTTACAATTATTTTTAATTTTTCCGACGTTTCGCGTGCTTTTCTTTCTGACAATTCATAAGTGTACTTGTTTACCTACATGAATAAAGATATTTTGAGGTTTGAGTTTGACTATACAGCGTGCGTGGTCACGGTGACATACGGTACATAACTTCAATCCGGTAAAAAAGTGTTTTCTTTAAATGTGTTAAAGTTATGTCAATAAAGGACAATACAATATTTAATCTTCTAGAATCTTCTTTTTTAAAATATACAGGTGTAATGCACTTTCTTATACAGGTATTTGAAAAGAGAGTATGCAGTGGTATACATTCGCTTTGCTGCGATGGTGGTAATATTGTCTGGCTCGGAGCTGACTCAAGATTACTCCAGTGGAACATGGATACTGTCACGTGTCTCCAGGATCATCCAGCTCATGATGGTAGGTCTCTCGTTCAATGGTATCGTAGATTTTATCGTTAGTTTTATAACTTAAAAGTTCTTATGAAGTTTTTATTGGTTTTTACAGTCACTAATACTATTTTTTAATGACTTATTTTTATTTTCATATTCGACACTATAGCTTTGGTATATGTGTATGGGTAATTTTGGACGGATTTTTATGAAATTTGGATTCTTGATATAACTTTTTTCTAAGAATTTATGGAGAATCATATTTACACGTGCTTGGAAGTTACCATCAAATAACCAATTGTAAAATGAAGTTAAAATATTTAAGAAATTGGCTTTTAGTACTTAAAAATATTAAAAATGAAATGTATAACTGTATTTTTTGTTTCAGGCATAATAAGCAGTATTTACTTCGATATAAAAACTCAAACTTTAATAACAGCAAGTGCAGATAAATCGGTAAAAATTTGGGAATTAACAAAAACTTCTTGACAGACTGTGTTTGGAACAAAAAGTATTATTGCCGTAAAAAATATTAAAATATGTATACGTCTTCTCGATAAGAACACTGTTTTATATATATGTGTTTTATTTACTACTACCCGTTTCTATACTATTTATTATCTATTCTAAAGGCCGATTTACATTATCTTAGTGTTTAGGAGAGTGCTTTAGTACAACTTGAAAGGCAAGTTCTTTAGTGCTTTAGTGCGTTGCGAGTGAACGTTTACATTTCTTCCAGTAGAGTATCATTACAGCGCCACAATGAACGCGCAACGACGTCGGCAAATACGCTCTATTCTACGCAAAATACTAACTGTAGTTATGGAACAAATAGAAGACGAGATTTTATTCGAAATAAATAAACTAAATATAAATAATAAACAAAATAGCTTCTTTTAAGGCAGTGTATGCCGAATGCCTAGCCGGTTTGTTTTTGTATAAATTGTTTTTAACGTTCCACAAACATTCGTGAACAACATATTCAGACACAAATTTGATAGTTGTATCTTCCGACCATTTAGCCATCTTTAAAAATCATACAACACGCACGCGTTTCACGGCACTTATGCACTCTCCTAAAGATTTGACTAAATTACGTGTTTACACACAACGAGGGAAGATCTCGGGGGGTGCGCGGGCGCGAGAGGGGTATCACTTGAAACAAAAATAAAAAGCGATTCTATTTTGATTCAACTTGAAAGTCAAGTAGAACCGTACTAAAGCAAGTAGCGTTTACTAAAGCAAGTAGCGTTTACATGTTTCAACTAAAGTACTATCCTAAAGCACTCTCCTAAACACTAAGATAATGTAAATCGGCCTTAACACCCAGTAGTGCTAAGACTGGAACTCTGGGCAGTAAAGTTTAAAAAAGTAAAATTTGTCTTGGCAGTTAAATTAAAGTGATTAGAGTGAAGTAAAGTATAAAAGCGGAAAATTGATTAATGTATTCTTTATTTTTCTTTCAGTTGTAACTATTATATTAATTATATTTTCCTGTATAGGTAATTATTATTAATTATATTTTATACTAGCAGTCAAACACGCCTTCGCAAGGCATGTTTTTAAAAGTAAACTGCAAATAAATACATGTAGGCATAATGGAGCATTCTAATGGTGAAAGAATTTTGAAATCGGTTTCGAGTCGAGTTTGTTCTTAAAGTATTTTTTTCTCTATTATATTATGAAATATATCATAATCTGTTTTAATTATTACATAATATTTTTGACTTGGACATACCTTGGTCACAACGGTACCTTATGATTTTTGGAAAATGTACCTACAAGATTAGCGTAATTATAATCGCGGCACTTAAATTTGTTCTTGTTAGTAGTTATTGAAACAGTGAATTAATTATATTAATCTGTTTTAATTATTACATATTAATATTTTTTATTTGGACACCTGATTAGCGTAATCATAATTGCGGCACTTAATTTAACAAATAATTTTATTTGTTCTTGTTAGTAGTGAAATTAAAATACCCGTATTAATATCTCAAAGTAATTTCTCACTAAACCCTAGACGATACAAACGAGGAACAAAAAACCTAAATATATTCAAAGAAACAAAAACTATAAGTGACTAATCTGTTAAGAAATTACCTTAGGCAACAGACTAATTAAATATAATCTAATCTCCTTTTTTGAAATTAATTAAATTATACATGCAAACGTAAGTTAATTTGTTACATAGCGATTAGAATTCTGGATTAGTTTTCCATTAAAATAACTAGAAGCCTCGAAAACATTCGACTTCGTAAGCTTTACGTAAACATTTAGAAACAACTCGTAATACCTACGTCAATTCATACAAGGGTGGGCCGCGACCACGCCCCTCAGACCTTTCCTAAAACGGGTCTCTTAACCTTAGCCTAACCCCAAACAATTATAAATAATTAAAAACGTTAATTTTTTTACAATAACGAAAGCGAGATTAATATAATAATTATGTATAAAAAGGATGTGATGCGAAAAATGTATCATAATTTTTTTACTTCTACTACGTTTTTAGGAAAATTTGGGGTATATACGCTTCTCTATATACCTATTTCATTTGTTACGTTAACTTGATTAAAATTTTGTTTTCAAAATTTATTTATTTAGGTTTTATTCTCAGCTGAACAATTATACGTTTTTCTCATCATATTGTTGAAAATTATAAGGAGAAGCTTTTTCTGACTAGTAAAATGTTTCTTTAGAGGTAAATACTATACGAACTAACTGAGCATTGTGTATAATGCCTAATTATTTATTAGGAGCCGATTTTCTTAAAATTCTTGTGGATCGCTTTTAGCGATTGTATTTTATCATTGCCTACTTGTAAAGTTCGTGACTACAGGAAATAAAAAGTATTTCATTACGAACTAGTATAATTAAAAACTTAATAACATCATAGTTAGTAGTATTAAATACAACAATTCATCTACACAATAACAGACTCTACCATAGTTTTCTTAATTAATTCACCAAAATTTTCCGTAACTTCATTCGTGTTTCCATCAGATTGCGTGGGCTGTGACGCGTAAGTGTCTTGTGTGGTTTGTTCAGCACTATCCAAGTTTAATAACGTGTTCTGACTAAACCAATTCTCATCATTATCTACCGATTGCAACTTATTGCTAGATTGATATGGCATTAGGGCTGTGTAATTTGTATCAGATTTGTCCTCGCTACTTTCACAGTTATTTTTGTAAATTTCGTAGTTGTTTTGCGTCGGCTCATGGTATTGTAAATTGTGCTCCGACATACTCGTTGAAGGTTTATGCATGTACTCTGTTGAGTAAATGTGGCCATATGGATTAAACATTGATATGTGGGAATTCTGAGCGAATTCCTCAAAGCTTGTTGCGGAGTAACTTTGTAATGATTTAAAAGCATGACTATGGTCCGCACGCTGTTCGTAAGCGTAATTGAGATCGCATGAATATCTTTGTAAATTATTCGACATATTAAAATTCATTGTATTAGTTACTGAGTGAGGCGGACCTTTTCCTTGAAGAATATTAGACGTGTAGGGGCCGTGGTTTCTATGGATAGATTTGTCATCAAAATTTAATATGTGTACGTCTTGATTATTTTTTTGAATTTGATTTTCTTCATTTCTGGATGTACTCACGGTATTTTTGTTAATGTGGGCAAATGCGCCTGGATTTACACAACTTTCTATTTGAGGGTTTGCAGAATTATGACTATGTACTGCAGTACTTTGAATATTGTGGCAGTGCTCTTTTTCATATGATACATGAGGTATAGCTTGTGGAGCACTGGTCATAGCTTGCGCTACCCATTGGCGTTTAGCTTCTTGGCTTTCTTCGTTCTTTTTTTCGAGACCCAATCTTACGAGAGTATTAATAAAATGAGTTCGCACTCTTATAGGATTGAACTCGATACGACCTGATGTGTTTCCACATCCATCTCTACTGCAACCACAAGGAAAATTAAGCCTGTCAACTTGGCATTTAATACCAGCTAAGCTACATGAACAACTATTTGGATTACACACTCCTTTACATGCACATCCGCAAAACTCGCGTGACGTTCTGATATCTCTGCATTCGTCTTTTTCGTAACCTTCAATTTTTCTCACTCCTGCTGCTCGAAGTAACGCTCGTCTCTGCCGCGTAGGTACTGGTTGTAAGAAATAATAGCTATCTAAATCTAATTCTGATTCCGATATATCACTTGCTTCTTCTTCTGTGTCACTATCTTCACTGGAGGACAGTGAAACACCAGACATAGAATGTCTTTCATTTTTCAGTTGTTGTAATAGCTGTCGATGTAATCTTCTTTGTTCCAGGGCATGCTCGGCCAAAGTAAACTTCTGTACGTGTGTGTGTTGCCATTCCATACCCAATGTAGACCCACCCTGAGATGGCACACAAGAGAAGCCTTGTGCTCTTGGAAAATAAAAAACTGTGACATTGTCGAATTTTATTGCTTCTTTTCGTTTTTTATGAAATGGTTCTAAGTTGTTTTCGTCGTCTTGTAATTTTCTTTTTAGACTGCTCTTAAGAGGTGTGTGCGATTTTTCTTTTTCACTGTTGTCTGAGTAAAGGGTCTCCGTATGTTCTATTATTTTGAGAGGTTCAGTGTCTTCTTCGGTATTATTATTCTTATTGTCACTTGTTGACGGCAATGCTAAATCAAAGGATGGTAACTTCGCATCCTCTACTGTCTCTGATCCAAGGCCAGAATCGCTTCCATCTGACCTATCTTGTGCATCTTCTTCTCTATCGTTAAGTGTGGAATCGGGTGGAAGACTACCCAAAGCGGAATCTTCACTATCCGCTGACGCCGTGTCTGTTTTGATATCATCTACGTCACTTAAAGTGTCATTATCATCTATTTTTACAGCATAATCTACTTTACTATCACTAATCTCATAAAACTGAGAGACACTACCACTGTTTTGTTCATCATTACTATTAAGATCTTCACTATTTACATCACTGACACAATTTCTTTCACTTATCACAGGTGGAACTGCTTCTTCTCTATCTTCCATTATGGGCGCAGTGCTACAGTCTACTTTTTGAACAGTTGAACTATCTCCATCCATTGTTATCTAGAAAAAAGATAATAAAAATTTCAAATTGAATATTACATAGTTTTTTAATGAAAAAAATATAATGAGACTCCAACTTTATTTGTGAAAATATTATTCAAGATTTTGATTTGCAAAAATATGTAGTCCCTACTTATTACAATTAAAATATTAATGTGTATTAAACATAGGTATGTAAAGACAATAAGATTGAATACAAAACAAATTTTAACAAACAGAATTAGCTTTCCCACCTAATACCAAGTCAAGCTTTATAATTCAAACAAAATGATAAATTCAAACAAAATGATAAATTCAAACCGGTACCTGTCACAAACACTGTAGCTTCCAGCTTCACCGATTGTCGTTCGATCGCATTTTCCAGCCCATAATGATCACACATATGATCTGTATCAAAATATAGCTCGTATCACAAGTTAGCATTGCCACCAATACTTAGTCATAACTTTTAATTTGTACCCCAGTGGCAAACACACAAACATCACCTCAATGTTCTTCACAATAGAGCTCCTTTTATCACACTAGCTTTTGAGCAAGCGTCCTACTCCAATTATTTATTTTGATTAAAACGTACCACATAAAATATTTAAGCTTGACTTCACATCTGACAAAATAATTGTCGTTATTGACATTTTTTGTCAAACTCAACAGAAATTTAGAATATATTATATGTACACGATATGCCGAGGAGAGAGCTCACTTTTACTGCACCCAACTCGGTACTCAGCTTCGCGTAATCGTCAATCGTGTTGGTCGTTGGACGACTCTCGAGCGACGCAGGCAAGTATTAATGCGACCGCGAGAGAGGTAATATTAACCCATATGACTCGTGCTATTGAAACGCTTTTGGATTTAGCCGTATAGCAGCTGCGTTGTTCGTTGTGACGTTACGCTCTCCCCTCTCCCTCGCCCCGGCCTTGCGACCCTCCCCTCGCTCACCCGGTGCGATGGTCTCACGCAGGCGCAAACCGTTTCTTGACTTAGGTAGTAATAATATCAAATCTTAAATTAAATTTCCCTCTATACACAAGTACATACTTGGTCCGTTATAATTTTTGAATGATTGGTGTATAGCTGTTCTACATATGGAATGATTCCGTAACAATTAGGTACTTATGGACTTGACGATAAAAATATATACTATCAATGTTGTAGCTAGGTAGTGTTTAAAGTAGAATATCAACACTACCTATATAATGTAGTCTATTGTCTTGTTTCTACATTTTTATAAATTACAGCGTAACCTAAAAGATGATAAAAAAGAAACTGCATTAAAAAACTATTGATAGGTATACGCTAAAATAATAATTAAAGTAACTAATTATGCATATTTTTCTTAATACTTACCTGTTTTGTTATTATTATTAATAGATTAGTGAAAAAGATAATAGCTAAAAAATTTCACCTAGAGCTTCAGGTTCTTCTGATGCTCTAGTAAAGCTTCCCATGGTCATCAGGTAGTTTTGTCAGTTGCGTTGCTGGCATTTGCATTAAAATGAATGAAATAAATAATTTTAACTCCATTGCTTGTTTATGCTTACTTTGGTCTGTGATGAATAGGGATTACAATATAAGCTAACCTTTTTTTCATTACCTGCTCATGGGTTTAGCTTTAAAGCATAACTGCTATGTCTGTGTAATGTTATTGGAATGTATAGAAATGATTATGTAATATTGTTGCGTTTCTACATACATTGTGTAAGATGTTTACATAAGTATTTGTTAAAAATTTATCGTCAAATCTAATTTAAGAGAGTAACTAATTTATACCCAGAAAAAGTATGTACAATCCAGAAACTAAGCATTCTATGATAATGAGATTATTCTAGTTAATTTTTAATGCTCTTTTATTCAACATTTAAGCGAATTTTAAGTTGATATTATTTTTTGGTGACATACAAAATTCTGCATGATTCTGCAGGCGGAACAAATTATCGCTCATTAACCATTTTTAACAATAACTTATGGAGCATTGACGTTTTTTACGTTTTAATTGCTGACCCGTGGAGACAGCATACACGAAATTATATTTTGAGATGTTTAAAAGTATGCGAATGACGCGATAGGTGTGTGCATTAGTAGAGCGGTCGTTATAAAAATAGCTTTTTGTAATTCAAGGTAATCGACTTTTGTGAACTACATAGATGTAGACAATATTACATTGATTTTTTTTATTTTGTCATGAGGGCAGGCTTCGGACTATACTGCGTTACGTGCCACGTTTGTTTTCGTTTTTATTCTGTAAAAAAATTGCAACATTTGCATTTACAGTCTGTATTACTATTTACTATGCATTGATTTTTTGAACCTCTTGTAAATCGTGTCGTTTAGAATACTATTCCAGAAATATGTGCTACATTTCACTAGAATGCTACTGAGTATAATATCGCTAATTTAGTTTATTAATATTTAGGATTAAAATACCTATGTCTTATGGTATCAGTGGTGCAAGCTTTATGGTTCTAGAACTCTGCCTCGATTCGTATCGTCAAATAAATTTTTCTTTATAAGATGATCTTTAGGTTTTAGACGTGACAGTTCCTAAAACCTTCACCGTAAGAGCAAGTGTTATGTGCACTTATGTAGAAAAATCCGTTGGTGCCGGGTTCGAACGTACATCAGAGTTTACATTGTTCATAGTAATAATTGCCAACTGTCCAACTGAGTAGCGTTTCCATTATTTATCATTAATTTTTGTTATATTTATATTGTAATGCACTATTACCAAGAAGAAACTTTTATATAGTTTTCTTTTATGATTAGAATGCTATGCTCTGTATAATCTATATTTAATCCGTAAATATTTGAAAAATAAATGTCAAGACGTGCGAAGCCAGCAGGCGCAAGTTCTAATATTTATATAGTTATCTGAACTATCGGAGATCAAAAAGTCGTGATATGTTTACGAAAATTCTTTTTTGATCTATGAATAGAGGAATATTCGGTGTTCAAATAAAAATAGATCGACAACACATCTTGATCACGAAATCAATCGAAGTTTGTCTTATACGAAATGAAACAGTTGACTTTTTATTTTTTTTATTTTTTTATAGAACGGGGGCAAACGGGCAGGAGGCTCACCTGATGTTAAGTGATACCGCCGCCCATGGACACTCTCAATGCCAGAGGGCTCGCGAGTGCGTTGCCGGCCTTTTAAAAATTGGTACGCTCTTTTCTTGAAGGACCCTAAGTCGAATTGGTTCGGGAATACTTCAGTGGGCAGCTGGTTCCACATAGTGGTGGTGCGCGGCAAAAACTGCCTTGAGAAACGCTCAGTTGTGGAACGTCGGACGTCGAGGTGATACGGGTGGAATTTCGTATTCTGCCTCGACGTCCGATGATGAAACTCAGCTGCAGGTATTAATCCGAACAACTCCTCTGAACACTCTCCATGGTAAATGCGGTAGAAGATGCAGAGTGACCCCACATCTCTACGCAACGCCAAAGGATCAAGCCGCTCGGAGAGGGATTGGTCGTCAACGATTCGAACCGCTCTGCGTTGTATACGGTCAAGTGGAAGGAGCTGGTACTGGGGAGCCCCCGCCCAGAGGTGAGAGCAGTACTCCATGTGGGGCCGAATTTGCGCTTTATATAGTTGCATGCGGTGGCCCGGAGTGAAGTACCGTCTCGCCTTACTGAGCACACCAAGCTTTTTGGAGGCTAATTTAGCCTTTCCCTCCAAGTGACCGCGAAACTGAACGTCGCTCGATATGTCAACGCCAAGTATTCCAATGCTGGCTGTGGCTTTAAGAAGAGTGTTTTCGAAAAGAGGAGTAGCGACAAAGGGTGTTTTTTTAGCGGAAAACGCGCAAACTTGTGTCTTCTTGGGGTTAAATTGGACTAGGTTTTGTCTGCCCCAATCTGAGACTCCACGAAGTAGAGTTTCAACTTCAGACACAAGTTTGTTCCGGTACTCATCAACAACTGCCCGAGAAATACCTGCCCGGCCAGTGTAAAAAGTATCCCCAGTACTGTCATCCGCATAGCAATGAATGTTGCTAAGTTTCAACATATCATTGATATGCAGAAGAAATAGGGTCGGGGATAGAACACAGCCTTGTGGGACCCCAGCGTTTACGGGTTTTAGGTCGGAACATGCTCCGTCGATGACGACCTTGATGCTCCGATCGGCCAGAAAGCTGGAGATCCAATTGCGTAATTTCTCGGGAAGCCCATAGGCTGGAAGCTTCGAGAGCAGTGCTCTGTGCCACACCCGATCGAAGGCTTTCGCTATGTCCAAACTAACCGCTAGCGCCTCCCCCTTGGACTCAATTGCCTCTGCCCATCTATGTGTAAGGTATACAAGAAGGTCACCAGCCGAACGACCACGACGAAAGCCGTACTGATAATCGCTAATCAGCTGGTGGCCCTCTAGATACCTCAAGAGCTGGCAATTAACAATGGATTCCATTATTTTGGAGAACAAGGAGGTTATAGCTATTGGGCGATAGTTGGACGGATCAGAGCGATCGCCTTTTTTAGGGATCGGATGTATCAAAGCGGTCTTCCAGCACTTCGGGACAGTGCCGAGCGAGTACAGGTACCGGAAAAGGCGCGTTAAGACCGGAGCCAACTCAGGAGCACAAGTACGCAGCACAATTGGGGGGATACCATCCGGCCCGCTCGACTTATGAATGTCCAAGGAAGATAGTGCTTTGCGGACAGCACGTTGCCGGAATGTGATTTCCGGCATCGAAGAATCACACCGCGAAATGGTCGGTGGTGATCTCCCTCGGTCATCCAAAGTCGAGTTAGACGCGAAGAGACAGCCCAAAAGGTCAGCCTTCTCCTTCGCAGTGTGGGCCAGAGAGTCATCCTCCCTGTGCAGTGGCGGAATGGCGGGCTGACAAAAATTCCCTTGGACAGCTTTGGCGAGAGACCAGAAGGCTCGAGTCCCTGATGGGAGTTGGGCCAATCTCTCGCCAAATCTGGCAATGTGCTCTGACTTTGCCTTAGTGATTTCCCGTTTGAAGGACCTGGAGGCTGAGTTATAT